CCACTTTGACTGTGTTTGAGCACCGTTGATGTAAACTCTCGTCCTGGGCTCTGTCGGCTCTGAACACAGTCCACTCGTCGATGCTGGATCCAGGATGTTGATGGAGCAGGTCTCTGTAAAGATGTGGGCACAACAGTCTCTGATTTCCTGTTGTTTGGCCAGCCTAAATCCCATTTTGTCCAAACCGGACATTAGCTAGGAGCAGCCAAGCCGAACTGGGCCAACATGGCTCCTATCCCGGATCTCTTCCTCTCCTCAGCAGCGACAGCACCTTTCTCCGGTGGGCGGGTCCTGTTGATCTGGCTGGCTGGATCGTCTCAAAGTCCGCTGCTCTGTAATCCTAACCCCACTCTTCCTTTTCCACTGTAGTGTAGCTATATCTGTCATAGCTGAAACTTGTTTTAGCAATAAAGCCAGAAAAAAACAGATGAAAACAAAAATGTTGCGGCTGGCTAATTTTGGCTTAGCCCTTTAAAATCGAATCCAATCAGACCTCATTCAATGAAAGTAGACTCATTAATTAACACCTTATATCTTGCTTGTTTAGTCCGTACAAAAAACAAAGTGCAGAGAGTGTCTGCTGCCTTTCGTACATCATCACAAAACCATCAAAGCCTTTAATTAGTCTATTATTAATGACGTGTTTATGTGTACATAGCTTTAGACATAGTTGTTAAGGTCCAGCTAATTTAACCTACTTTATGTACTGTTGGCAGTTCAGTCTCTAACTGTGCTGAAGTTAAACACCGAGAGTATTTCAACCTGTTTTTAATTCAAATGAACCTGTCTGAAAACTGACTGTGTCTTGAAATATTAAGGCGTGTCACCGCACTAGAAGACAAATGACATTTGATTTCAGAAATTACCTGAAGCAAAGGGATTTGCATTGAAAACAGGGTGGAATATTGTCCCTGCACTGATGACTACTTTCACATGTTTTAAGAAAATAAGTGGGTAGGACTAAAATGATTTGAAAAGAAGGAGAGTTATGCAGCGAACAAATGCATAATGATTTAAAATGTGATTGAATGTTTTGTATGAAACATCTTGAGATAGTAACTAGTGGCAAATATAATATTTCCGTCTTTAGAAGTAGAAAATAGTATGAACTAAAGTACAAGTATCTCAACATTTTACTCAAGTACACAAACATGGTGAAGACAGGACTTCTGATTGTGTTACCTTTGGACAGAGGCAGGCTTGCTGTTTTACCCTGCTTCCAGTCTTTATGCTAAGCTAACTGTCTGCTGGCCGTATAGCTTCTTTTGTACCGTACAGACATGAGATTGGTATTGATGTTTTCATCTCTCTCTCAGCAAGAAAAAAGCAAATAAACGCATTCCCCAAAGTTCCCCCTTTAAACGCGGTGTCCACAGAGTCCAACAAGTCTTTAAGTTAACATTACTTGTATGGAGTTGAAGGTGTTTTCTAGAAGAAGTGATCATGCTGTAACAACAATCCTTTATGCCAGTATGGATGTGTAATAGGTCTTAAATTGCAAACATATTGGTCTTTAAAACTCATCTGAAACCTGCAGACCTGTTTAAATTAAAATGACTTCGGCCACAAAAATGCAATGCTTTACTCTTGTTTTGTTTCTGTTCAATACCAGTGTCTTTTATTTGGGAGTATGCGGTGTTTATGAGCATACATCTGTAAATGAAATAAACAGGCATTTCAGAATCAGGTGGGTCTGTGGAGAATAAATAGATAACAGGTAGGTTAACAGGTACATTAATGGTTTTATTGTTTGGTCGATTGGGTCATGATTGCCAGGGCAACAGTACATGTTTCCGATACGGCAGCGCTGACTCACCTCTCTTCGCCTCTCCTAAAATATACTCCTGTATAACCATCATTCATCACTTCCCAGCCGAAGACTTCGTCAACCCTCAGGCAATTTCTCCCATTCTTAGAGGAACGGGAGAAATTGCTCTCGGAGCAGAAATTGGCCTGTTGTTAGTTCCCATATTAGAGAAAAAGATGAGGTCAGATCACTTTGCCCGAGAGCCTTTTTGTAGTCATCATGGCCTGCATGTCTGAGGTGTTAAAAAAAATAATATACGAGTGAAGAAATGTAATTCCATGTGTTGCAAGGTTTTACGCTTACACAGAAATTTTCCTTCTTCTTTCTGTAAGTCATTCTTGAGATGATCTCGGTTTGGTTTCAAGTGACCAACCTGCACATTAATAATAATGTTTCATTAAGGTTTAAATTGTCACAAGAAAAATACACAGATTATTTTTTTAAACTGATTTATTTAGAATAAATTAGACCTGGTTGCAGTGTTCATTTTATTATTACGTACATGGAATATTTCATTTAAAGACCAAGCATGAAAAAGTCCTCCAGTGTCGGCTGATTGATACATGTGTAAAATGAAAACATTCCTGAAAACATTAGGTGAAATATTTTTTTAAAGCTTCATATGCTGAGGACATTTTTTTAATAATTGAAAATCCTTGTGACAAAGTCCTTTAAGGTGAAACTCATGAATGAAAGTGAAGACTACTGGTTAGCGTACAAAAACATTTCATCAGTGTTACTGTGACACAAATGTTACAATTTAGTGTCCGATGTGATAAAAACTGACAGTAGTTACACAGTTCAAACGCATCCTGGAAAATTTAGAGACTAGTTTTCCAGTCATGAAACAGATGGAAATTGATTAAAATGACCAAATATCCTGTAAATAGGAGAAAATAAGAGTCATTGTCAAGAAAATGAGCAAGAACCACTTCCAGTCTAGTCTGCATTGATCTTACAGATTACCTGTTAAATGAAATGAAGTATCATTGGATTTGAGTCCAGAGTTGAACGTTTACCCCTGTAGTCAGTCTGGGTTGGTCATACGTCAGTGCAGGGGTGGCGGACCCCGCAACATGATGTCACACTCCTTTGCTGGTTTACCAGAAGGAGGCCTGGAGCAGTTTAATTTTCTTCTTTCAGCAGATTAAAGAGAAGCTTTACCTCTAATGTGAAGTAGAGCTAAAGTGGATACAGCTGGACTGGAGAGATAGGCTTTGTTGTTAAAAGGACATACCAACTAACACACAAGTATTTTGGTTTCTGTTTCTGCAGCACGGAGCTTCCCAAGAGGACTTCATCCGCGGCAGCCGGGAGCAGAACGTCCGGGATGTCGTGTACGACATCGCCAGTCAGGCTCACGTACATCTACAACACGTACGTACCACACATAGGTGACACGACTGAGAGTATGTGGACACCTGAACTTAGCGCCCTTAGCCCCATTTCCACCAGATGTTGAAACTGGCTGCAGGGATTTGCTGAGGTCCAACACTGATACTGGGTGATGAGGTCTGTCAGACCAGTCGAGTTCTTCCACACCAAACTGGGAAAACAGCTTCTTTATGGAACTGGCTTTGTGCTTGAAGGCATTGTCATCGAAACAGGAGAGAGACAAATACAAACTGTTGACACAAAGTTGGAAGCTCACTCTTCAGGAGTAAAGAGGCAATCAGGGCTCGTCTGGCGCGTTGCTGCAGTATTCATTGGAGGCATTTACCAGGAGACTTGAGTTATTGATTTCCTTTATAAATGTTCACTAATGAATACACAGGGCACAAAATCCTACAAATAGGTTTTGTAAAAATTTTGAATCTCAATCTACAAACAAATGTCATAAATGACTTGAAATTTTTTGAATCGCAAGTTTAATTTTCACTGAAAAAACTATTATAATCATGATGATGAAGTTTTTTGGGGTCTGTACCAAAAAAACATGTTTTCTTATATCTGGAGAACAAGATTTGTAGACCAGGAAATCTTTTCAGAGCTACATCGCTTCATTATTTTGCTGTTTTGTCACATTTTACCTCGCAGCTTCTGCAGTTTGTATATTGAACTTGGCCATATTTCAATTAATTGTGCAACCATAATTACAGTTAAGTTGCAGAAGCTTACAGCTACGGTGTATTTCCGGCTGATGCCTCAGCAGCAGCTGTTGACTGAAATTAAAGCTCACTTCAGAGACGAGGTAAAGTGAAATCCACGTCAGCAGCAGTTGTGTTTTGTAACGCACTTGAACACCTCTTAAGCCACTTAGCGAGAGCCCAAACAGCGGGAACAAAATGGCGTGCCATTTTTAAAATTCAAATGAACATCAGTTCATGCTTTGGCATGCAGTGTTCTTCAGCTTGCAAATATCTGCACCCACAGTGTGGTGGGTAATTTAAAATGTCCTTAGTCTTTAGTTTTACTGCTAACTTACTAATGCAGCTCCGGTGAGTTGGGACTAATTGGTTTAGAGCTTTATTAGCCGCCACTTATAGGCCTTATTGAGTTTTGTACTTTTGGAGGCTTTCTTCATTAAGCTGCTGCCCAAACATTCATCAGCTTTTCTGCTTTATTTGAACCTTGTTTATAGCAGTTAGGACTGTTCCTAATTGTTAAAGCACATGTGATTATACTGAGGGTAATCAATAAGGATATAAATGAGGATTGGCTTCCCCTCTGCGTGTGTGTTCACTGTTTACTGTCCTTTATGTTGTCTTCTACAGTCTGTGTCAATTAAAAGTGCTACGCTAATTAACTTAATAAGAACAAGAGAGGAGTTTTATACAGAAGTTATATGAGTAATTAAACATCTGCTGGCTCCAGTGTTTAATTCATTCTGATTATAATTCATACAGTACACACATACACAAGTGGGAAATTAAATAGGTCCCAGAGGCCAATTAGGACGCTAAACGTTAAAATACGCCTCCAAAAACTCATTTACGTATACATATCTATACATGGATGACTGAAATGACTTTTGTGGGGAAGTGTGTGCCTGTAGGGTGTGTGTCATGTGTCAGTATGTGAGAAATGAAATGGAGCCGAGTGTGATACGCTGGGACACCTGTAAGTCAAACACATGGTGCAACTGGTTGTTCACATTTGTTTTTAGTTGTTGAGCTAGTGTGCTCGCTAGTGCTAGTGAGTTAGCTAGTATCAAGTATCACCAATAACTGCCCCGTGGGGCGTAGAGAGAGGTTTCTGTCTCCTAACTTTATCTGTGATCAAAGTGATATATAACCGATCATTTAACACAGCTCAGTCAGGACCACCTTTGGAACGTAGGAAGACCCAGAGGGTAAAGAACAGAGCAGTCAATGGCAACAGAAACGACACTGATTAAATCAGGGGTTGTAAAGCAGGTTGCAGAGGAAACGGCAAAGGCAGGCGGGCTAAAGCAGGTCAAGACGAAGGTTTAACGGAGGAGTAACCAGACTGTCTGACCCACTTCTCCACACATAATGGTTGTGATCAACAGTCGACAACTCTAGAAAAACAACCTGAAGATGCTCTTTCACACATAACTGTTGTTTTTGAAGCATAGCTCTCTCAGTGTGGATGCATTCAGGGATTGGACAGCACATTGACCGACTTGTTTTCCTCTTTGTGTGACTTTTGTTTGTTGTGCTCTCTCTTTCAGGCGCGATCATTTAGCAGCAACGTCCCAGCAACTGCCACTCCAGCCTTCCTCCAGACCGTAAGTCTGAAAACATCTAATAAGATGATCGTAGCAGGCTGTGGGACAAACTGAGGGTGATATTTCTCTCTCTGTGTGTGTGTGTGTGTCTTTATGAAAATCTTTATGTAACAACATTGAAATACATTTATTCAAATAAATTAAATAGGACACAGAGAAGGGACAAACTTCCACCAAGGCATTTCAAAAGCTTCTTCTGTTGCACCCAAACACATTATCTTTATCACGAGTTAGATAGACTTTCTCAAACATCTCTCTCTCTCTGGAAGACCAAGGCTCTGTCTCTGTTAGATTTGAAGTTGCAGCTGAAAAAGGAAATCAATCAGATCAACATCACCAAACTTTAATCAGACGCTCCTCAGCCTCAGGCGGATCACTGAAACCTGCACGTAGTTCTATATTTTATATTTCTGAGCTGATATTCAGATAAACCCACTCTAAAACATAATGCCCTTGGTGTGGATGACTCATTGCTTTTCTCTCTTTAGATGCCAGATTTTGGGTAAGGTCATGTACCGGGGTTTGCAGGCTTGCATATTAACTAGAAATGAATGCAGTGAGGCTTGTTTTAGAGCAGCAGGGGGTGAGTGCTGCTGACAGTGAAAATACGCAGAGAGAAACACTGATGTGATTATTTTGTGAAGCCAATCATTAAAAACAGTGATGGCATTCTGCTTAAAGGAGAAAGCGTTCAGAATTAGAGCATGTTTGTCTCTAGTTTTCCCCCCAGGACCAGTTCATCCATCTGTTGCATGAAATTTCTCAGAAAACATTTCTCAGATCAGGGAAGGATCTTTTCTCTGTTCTGGGATTTTTAGATAAGACTCTCCGCGTGGGGAACGGGCTTGGCTGTGGCAGTGGTGGAATTTCCCCTGTGGGGATTTAGGGTGGCTCAACAGCACAGCATTTCTTATGTTTTCGTTTTTGGTGCAAATTACTTTGTAAAGGGGAACAGCGGGACGGTGCTTGATCTCAGTACCTGCCTGCATTCTCCCTCCTCCTGCCTCCTGGCTCTGTAACCCTGTTAACTGGCAACCTGCAGCCGAATAAAGTCACAATATGTAATATTTAGGAGGAGATATTGGCAGTAATGGAATATAATATGTGTTGGTAGGTTTTTATTAGTATACAGTTACCTGAATATAGGAATCAACTGTTTTCGTTGGCTTAGAATGAGCAGTTTTTATCTACAGACGCCGTTGGTCGTAAGACACTGGCTGTAGTTTCTCCTACTCAAAGACACTTTACATGGTTGGAAACACAAAGAAAACAGAAACTGCAACGGCAATATCAGCTACTACAACAATAAACAGACAATATTAACACATTTATACTTGTATATACAATATACTGTATATATTTAACTATATATATGGTTGCAGTTTTTGGTTTTTACTTGTTTGTTTTTTAAGTAGTACATTGATTTAAACTGGAGCCCGCACAAATTCAGAATTTCTTTTTGGCTGCAAGAAAACCCTGAAACACTGATTACTGACTGCAGCTGACAGTAAATGAGTTTCCTTTGTGTTCTACCTGCTGGGGCCATAAATACACCACAGAGCTGAGAAACACTGCAGTTCTCCTGCACACAGTAAAACCCTCTCCGACCTCCTCAGTGTAGAATTCAGATTGTCATGCTGCAGTGGACCTGGTGTGTTCACACGCTCGTAATGAAGCCTCTGTAGCTCTTTCACTTTAACACAGGAACCTTTATTTAAACCACGAGTCATGTAAGAGTCGGGGACAAATAAAACAATATACAGTCTTGTATGTAAAACTCATCATATCATAGATAACAGGTTTCTTTAAAAAATACTAAAATCACTGTAGTCAGGCAGATGACTTTCCTGATGCAGCTGACATGCGGTCACTGGAAAAATATATTTGGAAAAAACTGAGCAAAGGCGTTTAATTCACTTTAAAAAAAAAAAAGAAAAACCTGAACCCGACTGAACTCAAACTTCACATTTCTAATGATTTCTAAAGATGGTGCATGCTTGTATCTTTCTGCACTGTAACTCTGTGGCGTAACGCAGAGCGCGGCGCAGTTGGGCCAAAGAAAGGTCAGTCTGATGGCGAGGGAAAGCAGTGAAAGTGTTCCTAATATAGTTTACTGATAATAAACTAATAAAAAAAAATTTTTTTTTATGTGGCTAAAATATTTCTCTGCTGCCTCCATCATTCATAGTTTCATAGCTACCCCACTTCTAAAATACAAAAGAAAAAAAGAAAGAACTATCCCTTCATTGTATCTGTGCTTTACACATAACTTAAAGACATATTAATCTATAATAATTTATTCATTTGCTTCATTATCATGTCAACTGAAAATGACAGATGCCTCACTAGCTACTGATCGGTTAGGGCTTGGCCTGGGCCATATAGCTTAAAAATAAAATCTCTTTTTCAAACCACAACCAATTTATAAACTTATTTCTTGTTTCTTAAAAACTGCAAAAGACAACGTATCTTTCACATCTGTAATGTCTCATCGCTCCAGCCTGTTCTTCTCATACGGGTGGATTAAGGCTGGCTTTACACAGTCCTTAGCCCAGGCTGTATGTTCCCGATTATAACATTCATAGTTTTAATATTGATTAAAACTCCATTTCACTGATTTATTGCCCAGCTGTAGTTGGGAATAAAAACAAAGTAGCAACAAAATAAACAGGCTGAAATACTAAAAGGCAAGGAAATGTCAGTTCAGTCTAATTATCTGACTAGAAAAAACATCCTGGTTATTCTGAATCCTCTGGGACTCTCAGAGCTCTTTCAGTCACACCGGATGCAAACTAAACCAATCTCTTCTTCTGTGGTGTCGTGTGCTGCAGGTGGTGGTGGAGGACTACCTACAGAGAGTGAGGAGGGCAGATTTCGATGTTTTCAGCCCCAGTCTGCAGAACAAAAACCCCCTCCTCCCCTTCCAGCTGTACCTCCGCTCCTGGAAGAAGACCTACTGACTGTCCCCCCAGAGTCTTCGCCTCTCTGGGGGATTCTGCCTGAAGGAACACACTGTAGCACGTCTATAAAGAAACCCAGACTTGTTTTGAATCACCGTGCTGCAACTGAAATCTGCCTCCTAAATAATAAACCCACAACCACAAACCGCAGCAGAGACACAGACTGTCCTTTCTCAACATCTGGTTCGCACACCAGCTTTGGTCCTTCAGAATTCAAGTATTTCACATCTTATTTGTGAATGTACGAGGGAAATGTTTTATGCAAGGACTTATTAAAGGATTATTCCAAGGATGATAACATTTTAACTACCAAGTTAATTACTGAGGTCTTGAAACACTAAAATGAAGAAACAGGTGAAGAAACAGGAGCAGTCAGACGATCAGACAAACCAACATATTTGGGAAAATGTCTGTTGGTTCCCGCTTCAGCAGTGACCTAACACACGTAACCTCACGAGTACAAGAGAGTACACAAGGAAGAGCCATCTATCTTCATCACATCACAGGCTTGATGTAGAATGATAAAGTCCGAACTTTGAGTCAGATGTTCGTTAGCTAATGTCGCCAGCATGCAGCGGTGGAAGAAGTATTCACAGCTTTTACTTTAAAGTACCAATAACAACAGTTTAGAAATACTCTGTTACAAGTAAAAATACTTGTTATTTCAGAATAGTATATATTATTGGAGTATAATTATTGATTAATATGTAAACATCATTCATTTTGCAGCTGCTGAAGGTGGAGCTAAAACAACTTTATTTACCGCTGAATAGTTTGATCTATAATAATACATCATGTATTAGTTAATTGTACGTTCTGTAATAAACTGGATCTGTAATGCAACAACATCAGAGTTTTAAAGCAGCATAAAATAAAAATTCTCAAGTACCTCTAACTTCTACTTAAGTACTTCACTCAAATATCTGTACTTCTACTCCTTACATTTTCAAAACAGGCCCGGTACTTTTAGGTTGATGCATTTATTGTTATTAAGTTTTTTTGCATCATTGCACGCCTTCCCAACATCAGGACCGGTGCGTATCACCGTATCGTCGTCATCAAAGACGAGAGAGGGAGACTAACTTTGCACAGAAACAGACGGTACATTTCAGAGCCCGTGCTTTTTCACTTTCACTTGAGAAAACAATCAGTTCTTCTACTTTTACACAAGTATCTGTACTTCTACTTGAGTAAAGAACATGTATTTTGAATAACGTAATAGCAACCAATCAGAGCCAAGAAAACTAGAAAGATGCTTTGGGTTGGAGGCTTGAAGATAGCTGATTGTCCCACAGAATTTCTAGGCTCACATATTACCTGTCTCATGTTCTACTGTCAGGATATAGTGAAAGTTTCAGCGAAATAATTTATAAAAATGACCAAAAAATTGCAGCTTTAACGGCATTAATGTCAGGAAACAAAGCAGCTTGGTTCCGACTGTAAATACGCTGGTACATACTGATAAATGGACCACAGGTGAGTTCTTTAGTACTCAACTCGTCACAGCGAGCACATTGTTTCCCTGTGCAATGACGGACTATTACCAACATTAATCACTTTCAGTTTAACCTCCAAATAAAGTGGTTTAGATAAACTGTTGGATTGTTCCCAACTTGTCTGTTCGCCTGACTGCTCTTGGTGGGAAAAAAACACAAAAATAACACCCACAGTGTAACACCTGCAATTATCCTTTCCATTGTTTTATTGCTTGTACCTTCAGAGGAAGACGAAGAGAAAGAAGCATTGGAAGAAGACAGCAGGAGTGTCAGTCTGTCACCAACATGGCAGATCCTGGTAGAAAAGCTGCTGTCCAGCCGTGATGGTTACTATGGTAACGGAATGAATTTATTTATTCATTACATCCTTCGGTATTTTCATTAGTTTGGTTCCTAATCCCATCTGACTCTTCAATCTTAATAAATGATAAAACTTTCACAGCAAATTACTCGCCATATTTCACCTCAGTGATTCATAGTTTGTTTATTTATTTGTTTGTTGCAAGGATTCTGTGATCTTCCCTTTTCTCTCTCCTCGTCTGTCTAATTGTGGCTGCAGAGGAAAATCTCACAGAGAAGAATTCAGATATCATTTTGGTCCGAGATTCAGTGGGTTTGTTTTTTTTGGAGCCACTCAGCACAGAGAGTGACTCAAGGAGGGAGGGACCAATCAATGGGAAGAACAGAATCTCAAAAGATAATGAGGAAGAAGATGTACACTCAGGCTGCATCAAATAAGGAACATTTTATCTTTGAAAAGACTTGATACAAAGCACACCTGTGGAGAGCTGTTTGAAGTTTCCTACTGCACAAATACATCAATGTACTCACACTGGCCCTGCCGTCTGTGTGTGTAACTGTTCTCCTGAGATAAATCTTATCTTCTGCAGCTGTTATCAAGCCAAACTGAGCCCATAATGGAAAGAAAATAACTGCTGTATGTTAGTTTTGCTTCACGCTGGGGCTGAAAAACCTCCAGGAGGATGAGAAACGACTGGAGGGCCAATCGCAGACCGTAGGCGTTAAATTATGCACTGAATTACCCCGAAAGGAAACACACCCACACATTATGTTTAGCATCTGAAGGTTAAAATAACACCAGCATCTTTAAATAAAGCAAAGTATGACATTTTTCCTGTTTGATTGACTTGTCTGTGATACAGCTTCTATATCTATTTGCTAGAAGCAGCGCTGGAAATTTACTGCTGTCTCTACATTTACTGTTGTCTCTACTTCTACTCCACTCACTGACAGTATATAATGGACGGATCTTCTTCCAAAGTAATTAATAGAGTGCAGGTCTTAAAGCAACATTATGTATGATTTGGTATTTGTTGTGATTTGGTGCAATCCAACTGTGGTCAATATGGACAGCGGTTCACATGCATTTGTTATGATTAAATTACTTTTGACCAAAAACTGACAGTATATAATGGACAGAGCTTCTGGGTCTGTGAAGTGAAACCTGCATTCAACATAATGGCCAACAGGGGGCAGCTCCATTGTCTGCAATAACACACTGATACCATTCAGTCTTATGGAGAAATAGCTGACTTCTCAGTTGATTTATGAGCTCAGTAAACAGTTTCCTGATGAGTTTATGGTCTCAGTCTCTAGTTTCAGTCTTCTTCCATACAGCATGATG